GGGAGAGAGGGAGGGAAAAAGGCAGCCAGAGAGAGAGGGAGGGAGGGAGAGAATGAGAGGGGGGAGGAGGGAGAGAGAGAGGGAAGGAGGGAGGGAAAAAGCCAGAGAGAGGGGGAAGGAGAGAAAGAGAGAGGGGGAGGACGAGGGAGAGAGAGGGAGGGACGGAAAAAGAAAGCCAGAGAGAGAGGGAGGGAGAGAATGAGAGAGGGGGAGGAGGAGGGAGAGAGAAGGAGAGAGAGAAAAAGAAAGTGAGCCAGAGAGAGAGGGGGGAAGGAGAGAAAGAGAGAGGGGGGTGGAGGAGGGAGAGAGAGAGAGGGAGAGAGGGAAGGAGGCAGGGAAAAAGAAAGTGAGCCAGAGAGAAAGGGAGGGAAGGAGAGAAAGAGAGAGGGGGAAGAGGAGGGAGAGAGAGAGAGGGAGGGAGGGAAAAAGAAAGAGAGCCAGAGAGAGAGGGAGGGAGGGAGAGAATGAGGGAGGGGAAGGAGGGGGCAAAAATCACTGGGAGCCACCAAACCTGGGTGGGCGTGGTAGTGGTGGGGTCACGTGACTGGGTGGGAGAGACACAGGATCTTGGCCACGCCCACCTAGGGTTTTGTGGCCCCCCCGGTGTTTTCTCTTTTGTGAGAAACCGGTCCAAATGGCTCTTTCGAGTGTTGAAGGTTGCCGACTCCTGGACTAGACCTACCCAAGTTCCTGCGAGCCTCCTTCGTAGGTTTTATCCCCCCCCCCCCCCCCCCCCCCCCACCCCACCCCCCCCTACCTTCTCCCCCCCCACCCCGTGGTTGCAGTCACCGAGACCCCCGTTCACACAACCCTTAACCTGCCGCCCTATACGGTGCGTGTCTGAACCCGGTTTTTTCCTTGCGGACGCAGGCACGGCTTAAGGGGAGACGTCCACCGGTGCGACCCCGCCGTTGCAGGGAGCCACAGCTGCAGTTTGACTCTCTTGCAGATGTTCTCCACCGATCCTTACGTGCTCAACGTGACAGCCGTGAATCCTCTGGGGACAGCGAGCGATTTCTTTCTGGTCTCCCTGGATCAGATCAGTGAGTCTTCAAGGATTTCTCCCTTCTACCCACCTACAAGGGACGTTTTTTTTTCTGCATTCGTGGAGTGGCAGAGGTCGAAGCGGTGGCTAAAGATATTTGAGCTTGTCGATCAGGGAAGCTCGGGGGGCGGGTTCGAATCCCCGGCATCGCTGAGCTCCCGTGACTCGGTCCCACTTCTGCCAACCTAGCAGTTCCGAAAGCACATAAAAAAAATAAAAATAAATGCAAGTAGAAAAACCACGTTTTTCAATCTTGTCAGCTTTGAAGACCGTGTGAACGTCAACTCCCAGACTTCTATGCTGGGAGTTGAGGAACTCTGAGAGTTGAAGTCCACATTTCACACACCTTAACATGGCCGAGGTTGAGAAACGCTGTAAAAAAAAGGATGGTGGGTGTTCCTAGGATGCGTGGCAGAACTCAAAATGCCAGCCTTTTATTTATTATTTACTAGCGGGATACCCGTGCTTCGCTGCAAAACTATGTGATCAGGCTTAGCTTGGGGGGAGGAAAATAAGGGGGGAAAAATTCTGCCTCTGCCTACCAGCATCCACCGGGATTCATCTGGCTAGTGTCCTGTCAGTGTGTGAGAGAATTGAGGGCTGTTTGGAAAGTGAAACAGTATTTGTTGTGTGAGCAAGGAGCCTGGGCGTGGCTTAGCTCAACTGTTCTGTACTGAAGCTGCTTGGTGCTGTGAAACTAAAACTCCCCTGCTTGTGTTTTGCATTTGGAGGATATTTCTTTTCAGGTGGGGAGGGGGAGTAGAACTCCTTAGCATCAGAGCGTGTTAATAATCATAATAATATAGGAAATATTAATGCTCTGATGGTCATTTCGGAAAATCATTTCTTAGTGAGCACCTAGAAGCCAAGAGGAACATACATTCAAGTTTCAAGTTTGTAGGCTTTACGGTTCTGGAGATTTTGTGATGATGCGTGAGTGGTCTTTCGCTTTTATATATATATATATATTGATTGATTATTTGCTTGATCGCAAATTTGGGGATCAGACATCATGGATTGCGAATAAGCCAACTGACGTAAAACAGATAGAAACACTTTGTCCTTCTCTTAGGAGAAGGTTTGACACTTTTATGGCACATGGGTTAGTAGCTGCAATAAGGTTATTTCTCATATCTTGATGTGACCAGCTTTTATTTTTCCCCCCCCCCGTTACAAGTAGTCCTTGACTTACGGCCGCAATTGAGCTCAAAACTTCCCATTGCTTAATAGAAAGTTGCTCAGTGAGTCTTTCCCCATTTTACGACCTCCCTTGCCACAGTTGTTCTGTGAATCCCTTAGGCTGTTAAGTTAGCAACACGGTTGTGATGTGAGTTGGGCTTCCCCGTGGATTTGGCTTGTCAGAAGGTCACAAAAAGGGATCACGATGTGACCCCCGGGACATTGCAACCGTCATAAATACGATTCCATCGCCAAGCGTCCAAATTTTGATCACGTGATCATGGAGACGCCGTGTGGAAAAACGCCCATAAATCGCTTCTTTTCAGTGCCATTGTAACGTCAAACAAACGGTCACTAAACCAGCGGTTGTAAGTCCAGGACTACCCTGTATTGGCCATTTGGGGGTTGGTTTAATTCTCTTCTTCCCTTTTCTTAGTCCAGCCAGACCCTCCAGAAAATGTAACGGTCTCGCCGATCCCAGGGAAGAAAAAAATGCTGCTTGTACGATGGGAGGCTCCCAGCTCCTGGTTATATCCTGAATATTTTCCCCTGCAATATATCATCCGTTATTCGAGAGATGGATCCAGGCTTAGCCGAACGGTGAGTGCGGGGGCTGGGAGTCCCTCCAGGTCATGGTTACGTTAATTGGATTACCATTTGTCTGAAATAGAGCTTCCTGCCTAAGCACGGGGTTGGACTAGAAGACCTCCAAGGTCCCTTCTATTCTATTCTATTCTATTCTATTCTATTCTATTCTATTCTTTATCCCATCTATTCTATATTCTCTTCTCTTTTCTTCTCTTTTCTCTTCTCCTCTCCTCTATTCTATTTCCTTCCCTTCCCTTCTACTCTACTCTATTCTAATCCATTCCACTCTTATCTCTTCTCTTCTCTTCTCTTCTCTTCTCTTCTCCTCCACTCTACTCTATTCTACTCTACTCTAATTCCATTCCATTCCCTTCTACTCTCCTCTATTCTATTTCCTTCCCTTCCTTTCCCTTCCACTCCACTCTACTCTATTCTATTCTAATCCATTCCATTCTAATCTATTCTCTTCTCTTCTACTCTACTCTACTCTAATCCATTTCATTCCACTCCCTTCTACTCTACTCTACTCTACTCTACTCTATTCCATTCCCTTCTACTCTACTCTACTCTATTCTACTCTATTCTGCTCTATTCTACTCTATTCGACTCTACTCTACTCTACTCTAGTCTACTCTAGTCTACTCTACTCTACTCCATTCCATTCCCTTCTACTCTACTCTACTCTATTCTACTCTATTCTGCTCTATTCTACTCTACTCTACTCTAGTCTACTCTACTCTACTCTAATCCATTTCATTCCATTCCATTCCCTTCTACTCTACTCTACTCTACTCTACTCTACTCTACTCTACTCCATTCCATTCCAATCTATTCTAATCTCTTCTCTTCTCTTTTCTCCTCTCCTCTCCTATATTCTACTCTATTCCATTCCCTTCTACTCTACTCCACTCCACTCCATTCTCTTCTACTCTCTTCTCTTCTCTTCTATATCCTATCCTATCCTATCCTATCCTATCTTATCCTATCCTATCCTATCCTATTCTTCATTCCACTATTTCCATTCCATTCCATTCCAATTCCAATTCCAATTCTATTTTATTCTATTCCATTCTATTTTATTCCATTCCATTTTATTCCATTCTATTCCATATCCTATATCCTATTCTATTCATAGCCTGAACTTCTGATCTGAATTTCTCTTTTTTTATTATTACTTTTTTGCCACAGACGTAGTCCTTGACTTACGGGTAGAATTGGGACCATGATTTCTGTTGCTAAACAAGGCAGTTTAGCCAGTCACGCCTGATTTTATGACCTTTTTTTGCCATGGTTGTTAAATGAATCATGCAACCATTAAGCGAATCTGGCTTTCCTCACTGATTTCGCTAATCAGAAGCTATCTGGGAAGCTCACCTATGACGATCACATGACCCCGGGGTATTGCATGAGTCATACAGGCAGTCCTTGACGTACAACAGTTCAAATGGTGACCATTTGAACTTAAACAGCACTGAGAAGAAGTGATGTAGTGACCGTTTTTCACCATTACAACCATTGCGCCAGCCCCACAGTCACACGATCAAAATTCGGACACTGCATTTACAGTGGTTTGATATATGATCCCCATTTGCAGCCTTTTGAAAAGCAAAGCCAACGGGAAAGCCAGATACATTTTTTTAAAAAAACAGATTAATAGTGTTGGAAGGGACCTTGTAGGTCATTTAGTCCAGCCCAAGCAGGAAACCCTACACCATTTCTGACAGATGGCTGTCCAGTCTCTTCTTGAAACACAATGTCCGAAGGCAGGCTGTTCCACAACATGTCACTAACTTAACAACTGCAGTGGTTCATTTAACAATCGTGGCAAGAAAGGGGGTAAAGTCACTTAACAACTACCTCGCTAAAGAACAGAACTGTTGAGCTCAATTGTGGTCGTAAATTGAGGACCTCCTATAAATACATCCCAATTGCCAGGGTGTGAAAACCAGTCATATAAGTCACGTTTTTCAGTGCCTTTGTAACATCAAACGATCACTAAACAAACGAATCATTTTAAGTCAAGGGCTAACCTGTATTTTTATTTGTTTCCCCAGACCAGGCCTATTGAGCAAACTTCCTTTAACCTCACCGGGATCCGTTCTGGCGTAACCTACCACATCCAAGTAGCTGCAAAAGACTTCCTGGACAATGGGGAGTACAGCGCCTGGAGTCTTCCGGCCTCTGGCACGTCCTGGGAGCCTGAGTGAGGGCCAAAGAGGGTGGACTTTGTAATACTTGAAACATGGTATTTGTAATACTGCTGCGCTGGCTAATTACACATAGGTTTTCTTGTATTTTCTTGTATTTAAATTGGCTTTTTCCATTAGATCTAGATCTAGATCTAGATCTAGATCTAGATCTATCTATCTATCTATCTATCTATCTATCTATCTATCTATCTATCTATCTAATGTTTTCTCACGTTTTCGTGGATACTTACATGTATGGTATTCAGCTTTGTTCGGGTATTTTCCCACGTCATTATAGTTGTGCTATAATGACGTGGGAAAATACCCGAACAAAGCTGAATACCATACATGTAAGTACCCGTGATAACTTAAGAAAACATATAGATGTGTTATGTCTCACCTTTCTTTTTTCCAAAAAAGATGAAAGAGTCCAAACTCACACAAACACAGGCAGGCAAGATGACTTGGTCTTTACAGAGTTAATCCTTTATACTGATAATGTCCTTGGCATTCCAACACACTCTGCCTGCCAAGTCTGAAATGATAACAAGAAAAAACTACTCACGGAAGATTCCAAAGCAGACCACAAAAAAACAGTCTCAATGAAACCTGGAAGAGAAGCAAACTTTGTCCCGTACAAAGTTTCCGGAGAAAACACACCCACTTTTATCCCCTGTGGGGTGTGTCTCAATGACTCAGCTCACTCTCTGACCCTCCCACGCCTTCTACGTTGCAGCTCACATTTCTTCCTACGACGCTGCCTAGGATCAAGCCAACATTCGTCCACTTGACTCCCTGTCAGGGGCTGCTCCGATATGCCCTCCTCCTCCTGATTAATCTCAGGCTATTCCGCTTGGTTGTCTGCTGAAACCTGAGGTATTATCAGGGAGGAAGGCATTGCCAGAGAGGAAGGTCCTGGGGAGGAAGGCATTCCCAGTTCCTCATCATCATCTTTCGAGTCCTCTTCCTCTAACAGCACAGGCTCGGGAATCGGAGCCACAACATATATGTATATGTATATGTATATGTATATGTATGTATACATTTGTTTTCGTAGATTTTCATAGGTACAGGTGTTCAGTGTTGGATATTTGAAGGAACCAAATTAATATCCAACACTGAACACTCCAGCAAGACAATAATCAAGGAAGCCATCGAGATAGAGAAACACCCCCATAACATGAATAGACGGGACGATACCTCCCGCCTACCAGACATCTGGAAGCTAGCCCTCACCAACAAACGAGTCCCAGCCACGAAAACCAACACCAGACCCAAAACAACATGGGACACCATCGCCAATCCCCCTCATCAGACCCAGGCCCAAGCCCATCCTATATACGGAGGATAACCACCATCCAGAAAATAGACCATGGCTGCTTCAGCAGCTGTCGCAACCCCCCGACCCCAAAACCAAACAAGCCGACACACGCCAAGAACACAGACCCAGACCCCAAACTCGAAGCCAGACTAAAACCCAGAATGCTACATCACGGCCACCCGCTCAGGACATCACATCAGAAAACTCAGGAAATTACACCACAAGAACTCAAGAAGTTGCAACACAGCAAATGACCCAGGATATCACAGCACAAGACTAAGGACACCACAGCAAGGAATCTCACAAGGTCATCACACAGCCCATTACCTAAGCCGTTACTACATAGGAGGCTAATGGAAAAAAGATCAAAACACAAACGACCCCGGAGATTACAACGCAGGACTCAGGATACCACAACAAAAGAACTCGCAAGCCCATCACACAACCCATTACCCAAACCGTTAAAACACGAGAGGCTAGTGGAAAAAAGATCACTACAAAACAAACAATCCAGGATATTACAGCACAAGATCCAGGATATCTCTACAACAAAACTCACAAGGCCATCACACAGCCCATTATACCAACATCAACTCTATCAACCATTCAAGAGGCAGCAGTGCAGCCAACTAGCCCAGCATACCAGACCCCATCACCAGTATTTATAATGAGACGGCAGCTCCGATCACACACTGCTTGCACTGGCACGAAGCCGAAAGCAGCAGCCTGAGGATGGCGAGTGGGACCTTGCCGAAACGTCGCCAAGATACTCCTAATCTTACACGGGAAAAGACCCGAACACACCTAGACCAGGCTTCTGATGGCAGATGAGATTCTGCCAAAACGTTGCTACAACTTTAAAAGCACAACTACAATGATGTGGGAAAATACCCGAACAAAGCTGAATGCCATACATGTAAGTACCCATGAAAACTTAAAACACACACACACACACACACACACACACACACACACGTATGTATGTATGTATGTATGTATGTATGTTATGTTATGTTTCACCTGTATCCACAGGTGAGAATATAAATTTCCAGAGTTCAAAATATTCAAACAAGAACAAAACCAGACTCAAAAGAGTTAACTGTACTGTTTTCCAGTCCTTGGCAATCTTCCCGGAATCTGTCTGGCAATTCAGAATTGTCCATAAATCACAACAGCCCTTCAAATGTATCCTTTCAAATCCACAAAGCACTTTGCTCCAAGCAAAGATTGAGAGTCAGCAGGCCTCCTTAAATCCCCTGGATGGGCATGTCAGTCTCGCTAATCAATGTCTGGCTTGATGCCTCCTTTCAGATTGTGATTGACGTTTCAATCTTCTAGTCCTAGCATCAAGCCAGCATCCGTCAGTCTCTTCCTCACTCGAAGCCTTTGGCTCATTCTGTGGATCAGCTGCTGACATCCGAGGCATGAACAAAGTAGAAGGTTCTGGAGAGGACTGTCTCTCCAACAATCTCTCATCCTCCTGACTCACATCTGTGTCCTCTGATAATTCAGACTCCACATTCACAGCAGGCTCAAACCTTCCAGCTTCAGAGGCATCAGAGTCAAAACTCCCAGCAGGGTCAATCCTTCCAGTCACAACATATATATATATATAAATTATATATAAATATATATATGCATATATTAATTAATATATACATATACATATACATACATACATACATACATACATACATGCATATATATATATATATGTTTTCTTAAGTTGGCTGTGAAAGTCTGACTCACAGACGAACACAATACAGAAGCCTGATGATGGCAGATGAGATTCTGCCGAAACGTTGCTACAACTTTAAAAGCACAACTACAATGACGTGGGAAAATACCCGAACAAAGCCGAATACCATATATATATATATATATATATACACACACACAAAATATATATATAAAAGCGAAAGACCACTCACGCATCATCACAAAATCTCCAGAACCGTAAAGCCTACAAACTTGAAATTTGGTACGTATGTTCCTCTTGGCTTCTAGGGGCTCACTAAGAAAGGATTTTTTGAAATGACCATCAGAGCATTAGTATTTCGCATTTATTATTAACACACCCTGATGCTAAGGAGTTCTACTCCCCCTCCCCACCTGAAAAGAAATCTATTCCAAATGTAAAACACAGAGGAGTTTCAGTTTTACTTTCACAGCAGTAAGCAGCTTTAGTACAGAACAGTTGAGCTAAGACACACCCATGCTCCTTGCTGTCTCCTTGCTCACATAGCAAATACTGCTTCAGTTTCCAAACAGCCCTCAACTCTCTCACACACTGACAGGACACTAGCCAGACAAATACCAATGGATGCTGATGGAGAGAAGCACATATTTTTCCCCTTATTTTCCTCCCCAAAAACTAAGGCTGATCACATAGTTTTGTAGCGAAGCAAGAGTACAGAGCTAGTTGCTAATAATTTCCCATAAACCTTAACCTTCAAGAAATAGCCTCTCTTTCAGAAACGGACCAATTTGTTTTTAGCTGTTCTCAAGCTTCCATGAACAATGAAAATAGTGAAGCCCAACCTTGGGAAACACTGAGAAGGATCTTACCCAAACCCATTTTTATGTTTCTCCATAGACATACCACATAGAGATAAATTTTCGCCATTATGATTTCCCTCTTATCTTCAGGTTTCTTAAGAATCTACCCATCACAATTGTAACTTAGTCCATCTTCCATGCTGTTGTTTGTCCTTATCTCCTTTTTCGTGTCATCTTTTTAATCATTATACTGTAGATTGCTCAAGAGTTGAATATGTCCTGTTGAGTTGCTGCTGGTGATTCTTGGGAGCCACCAAGATAAAACCTTTTCCAGAAGGATCTGGAATTGAAGATTGCTAAATATAAATATTAGTATAAAAACCTGTTAGTTTTTTAGTCTAATTCTCCTCTTAGGCATTTTATGTGAGGCAAAAATCCAGGGCATCTGATAATTTCAGGGAAAACTCTGATTAAAGTTAAAAAGTTAAAGCAAAATTCAGGGACACTCTACTTTTCAAGAAAATAAATGAGATCTCTGCACACACTCTGACATCATTCCTGATAAGGAAAAAAACCTATAATGCCTGTTAGGATTCAGTTCAGGAATACATTATCATAAACACATTTTGTCTCCAGTCAGAGAAAAATAACTGTATATTTTCAAGGTCATTTTCGGCTTTGCTACTTTTCAGCTTGGAAGCTTTTTTTCTTTTCTGTTAAGGTTGAAGATGGCTATTTTGAGACCATTATACCTTAAATGTGTAAAAAAAATCATCAAAGAAACTTGGTAGTTCCACCTTGGACAGCAAAATGGGCAACTTATAAATTTAATAAATAAATAAAAATAAATACAAGAATTGGTTTAATGGTCTTCATTTGTCTGATGTCATGCATCACTATTCCTATTGTATGCTGACATTTAGTCTCTGTTCTTAATTGGCATTTTAAAATTCAATTTATAACAAAAGATTTCATAAGCCATTTGGGATAACTGGTTTGGAGAGGCAATATATACATCTTAAAGACAAAACATAAATAAACTCAACAACATCCTGGGAGGATGGAAGAAAGCTCTGAGCATGCAGCAATAATTATTATCATTAATTATACAGGTTGCAACGAAAATTATTTTAGGATTTAATCCTTCTCTGTAAACAGTACAAAGCATCTAATAAACCTTATCCCCAAAGCAATTTCGCTTTTTAATGAAAAAGGAGCCTTCAATAATTCGAAGTATTAAATATTTAACAGAGGTAATGAATATTTAATGCGCATATTTTATG